TTTATGAATGTATGAACGGGCACTATGAAGTGGTATACGTTTTTTAAAGCTTACTGGACAGTTACCTCAGATGCAGCCAGATTGTCTTAAAAAGATCTTTATCTTACTATCTATATTATCAAACTATTTTCTCTGGTGGAATATAGGCATACTAAGAAAGCTGGCACGGGCTGTGAACCGTAAAATTCATAGACTCACGCAGACAGATATAATGGAATGAGCATGATACAAGATTTTTATGATAAATTAATGTCAAAACGATCACCTGTGCGTACTCGTCCGTAGCGTAATATTCTGGTTCCCGGGCATACTGGTGGATTGCTTATCAAATCTTGAGCAATTTTCATCTGCCCAATCAATGTTCAAATTAAATGCTCCTTCACAGAGACCTATAGGCAAGGGTGGGTTCAGACTGCCATGAGGTGACATAGCCGATCAAGAAGTACGTATCACCGCGTGCCAGGCCGGGTACACAGGTCTCGAATCCTACTTGTGTTATTATTTTTCCGAGCATTTTTCGTAACTTGGCGTTGACCTTTTTAAAAGGAATATATATATACATATGTATTGTAAATTTGAAAATTGTGTTATTTTACGCAATTTTGTTAGTCGCTTAAATTGGTAAATGCAATTTTTGCGTCAATCTGTAAAGTACATTACCTTATTACGATATAACATAATTTTGAAGAAGCGTATATGTATGGTTCGGAACATCTTGGCTTTTATTAATTATCCGGAGTTTGAAATATTGATAAAAACAATAGGTACGAATCATTTAAATATTCTTACAAAATATTTCTTGGGCAAAGAAAGTTTATCAAGTTTTACATGATTTTTTTTCATAAACCCATTACTTCATGAGCATTTTGTGAAAAATGGCTGTTTTCATTGAAAAGTCTCCCGTTACAAGTACAAATTGCTATAATACTTTAAAAACTGCTACAATACTAATCAAACTTAGCACAAATGTTAACTGGACCATTGCCCTTGCAACAACATGCTCAGGCTTAAATTTTATGTTACCATGACAACGAGGGGACATCTCAAAATTGCCAAAATCGTTATTTTGCGTTGATTTTTTCCATCAAAATTGATTTCAAAGTGCTGTAACTTCTCAATGGTTTGAGATAGAGTCAAATGCTTTACAGCGTTGGTTACGCGTTGACTTATGATTAATCTTGGGTCATTTATAGTCCAAAATTTTCTTGGCGATGAGGGGTACTACCGCCCCCTTCAAACCCCCCAAACAGAAGCGGGCACATCCTCATTCTGGCAACCCCCTGATGTATCTTTTGGTTGGGGTCGCGCCGAAAAAGTGGTTAGTTTTTTTAAAACAACATTTCTCAAATAAAACAAAGTGTTTGGGGGCCTAAATAAGGCATTTTTCTCACCATTTGAAGACAACAAAAAAGGGGGGGGGGGGAAAAAGGGCGTAAAAGGCGTGTATATCGCGTAATGGGTTAAATGACATTTACAAATGTTTTGTTCGAAAAAAAATTATTATCAAAATTCTTTGGTGTTTTTATCACACGTGATATTAATACTATCAACAAATATTTATGGTTTTGCTTACTTTCCATCATAATAGACCAATTCACTTTTAATGTCCTTTTTTGCCTTCAATTTAATTGTAAAAACCAGTAAAACCAGTATAGTAATGCATCTACACTTTTCATTGTACTCATCTTTAAAGTATACTGCTTTGCGCACTTTTGCAAATTTATGACTAGAATAGTGTCGCATCTACTTTCCCCTGAACGCTGTGGGTTCGAATCCCGCCAGGGACTTACGATACTTTTCATGCGATCGAGCGCTTTAGGATCGGAATGTCGGTAGTTTCTAATCAGGCCTCACCACAATTCCTTCCCTCAATCAGTAAAACTTGCAAGTCGCTTTAAAATGACCTTAACTGTGTTGGTGTGAACGTTTTTAATGTGTAAGGCAGACTAATTAAAGAATTTACATGTCCCTATATAATTATATGGTTTAACTGTTTTGGGCAAAAATTGCCACCATATATAAGATATATTATTAATATTAAAGGAGACACTACAGTAATTATCGTGTAAAATTAAATGTTAAATGAGCCGCTTCAGCAAAACAAACAACGTTTGCGTTTTGCGAACCAGCATGGATCCAGACCACCTGCCGCATCCGCGCAGTCTGGTCAGGATCCAGCTGCGCCTAAAACCCTTAAACAAGTTAGAGAAACGATTAGCAAAACAGCATGGATCCCTGATCAAAAAATGCGCGGTGAAGCAGGCTGGTCTTTGGATCCATGCTGGTGCCAAAAACCCAATTATGTTGGTTTTGTCGTGACGCGGCTCAAATAATTCATGTGTAAACTAGTCATTGTTAGAACTTATTGTAAGGTTTTAAGAAGATATTTTGCACTTACCTGTAGACTTCCTCAATTTTCAATTTTATATATATATTCCACATGTCCAGTGTAGATAGGAAAAATGATTCAGTTGTAGTCGGCATGGTGGCACTGTCTCAGTAAGAATCTTGGCCTTGATGACAAAAATCACTGGTACAGTATCTCCGTGCCAGCGGCATCCAAGAACACGTGCACCCCATGCAAGCATGTAAGTTCATAAGCACAAAGATGGCACACCATGCCAGTTTTAAAGTTGACAGGTTTTTTCATGACTCCTTTTGTTGTTTTACAACGTAATGTAACAGACTGAATGAATAACATAAAATGATAAATGTGAAGTTCACTTATCGTATTGTTTTAATTAAATGAAAGTGATCGTTGTTTTTACGCGAAATTAATGTTTAATACAAAGTGAGAAATCAAGTTAGAAAATCTAGCATTTAATAGTAAAGTTTTCGTTTAAATTACCTTTGCTCCTATCAAGTTTTCTTGAATATCTACCCTCTTTAAAATACTGGGAAAGGCAAGTATCTGAGAGTAAGTGAACTTTCAGTTATATTTCATATCGTAGAGTAATAACGGTCATTTCGTCAAAAAAATTAATGTATCAGTGTCCTTTGAATAAATTACTAAAACAAACGTTTTTTTTTAAAGAATTTGGTAAGTTTAGCAAATATGTTGATACATGATAATTCTATGTTTGATATATTTTAGTAGATTCGGATTTACAATTTTGAAATTCCAGAAGAAGATAACGCAGAGTCTTAAATGTAAAGTGATTTTTTTTCATTTGTACACGATACACAATATTGGCATTATTTGGTCTGTACATGTCGCCAGTGATCTGTGTAATTTGTCCATATCCAAAGTTAGTACGTCTCATTATCCAAGTATTTTTAGAGAGATTGTCGTGTTTATGTTTTGTACTTGTACTGAATTTGGAATCATCATCATCATCACCACCATCATCATCATCATCATCATCATCATCATCATCATCATCATCATCATCTGACATCATGATAGCATATGGTTAATGCTACAATTACCGTGTCTCTTTATCGGTGCATGTATTGCAGTAATGCCGGTTTGGGAGCATAACATCGTGAACAACCACTTCAAAATTTTAAAGAACTACTTTCTATACCGGGTTGAGACCTATACTGTAAAGCTGCTATTTGAAGGATATTAGCAACTGCCAAAACGAATCACTCTCTCTGGAAATGAAATGTGCACACTTGTTTCCCTTCAGTATGATATATAGATACTTTTATTTCCTCCAGGTGGGAGAGCCAATGTTAGTATTTTTACGATTGCTTATTTTCTTTATTAGTTTTATACAAAAGAGAATAGATTTAAAATAGTTTTTACAAAAAAGTTGTTACTGTTATCGTCAGCATGTTCCGGTTCAGTTATAATCAGTGGACTTCTTTTGTCCAAATTTGCATGCATAACACTAGTGGCACAAATGGGCACAGATGCTCGTCCAGTCTTGGGGTTACCCTACCTACCCCTTTAAAAGTGACTTTTTTTTCGAAAAAACAAAAAACAAAACAAAACAAACAAACAAACTAAATAAACCCTTTATGATATACAAATAATTTAAAAAAATAGTGTTAATAAATTGACCCTCTATAGACCTGTAAAAACATAGGTATCTTGTTTTTTACTGGTATATAAGGTCAAATTATTATTGTTTTTTTTATAATTATTTTTTTATCATAAAGGGTTGATTTAGGAGGTTTTTTTTTTTTTTTTTTTTTTTTCTAAATCAATTTTAAAGGGATGGGATGATGGCACAACTGGGCAAGCCTTTCCTTTTAAAAGGAAACTTTATATCAATTTATGTTTTAATAAATTCCAGCAGCTGCGTTTAGTATTAAATGTCGCGGATTTATATAAATCCGTGGTTACATGTATATTAGGATATAAAATACATGTATATTAGGATATAAAATCTCAAATCATGGAAATAACTCAAATTTCACCCAGGCACCAAAAAGATGATTAAATCATGATATTCCTTTTATTAGATCTATGTCATAAGATTCATATATCATAAATGCGTCCAACGGAGATAAAGTAATTTAAGATAAACATATAGAAAAAAGCATAAAAACAACACATAACAAGCAAACAACAGCAAAAAAAAAAAATTAACCGTTTTAACCCTCATAGTCAGTGTACGGGCTTTTTTTTGAAAATAAACCGTGATATAAAAATCCTTTTTAGGTTTACAGATAAAAAAATAATATTTATATATTTGTATAAAAAAACATCTGTTTTTTGCTATATTAAAAGAAAAGAAAAAAAATAAAAAAGGCCAGCCGGGAACGAACCCGGGGCCCCCGGTGAAAACCCGGAAACCCAACACTAGACACATCGGATAATATTTTTAAATTTGCTTTTTATAATTTATCCCTAACACATTGTTAAAACTCGGCATGCGCTCAATACGCACGCGACCAAATTCCCTTAGAAAAAAGCTTGGGCATTTTTTTGGGGGGTTTATTTTACAAAAACTTTCAGTTAGGGACAAATTTTTAAAGCAAAATAAACTATATCAATTTTTCAAATTTTAACACAAGACGGGTTCTGTGGAAGGTACGTTACTATAATTGCATTAAATTATTCGCCCCATGACCAACTCGATCCTGATAATTTTCTCAGAAATTTGACTGATGCACTAAATTCGCCCTGTATAAGAATCAACGGCAAATCCATTTCTGTAAATAAATATCTAAGTCAGATGTTCGTTCATGTAGCAGGACGTCGAATACGCAATCCTCGGAATTACCGACTGAGCTATCTTGCCGCTTCAAAATAGTGAACCCTGACATAATCCTCCACAAATTATATGATTATAATGTAGTAGATCTTGAAATTCATTCTTGAATTTCTCCAGGCAAGCTGACCATTCAAATTTACTTGCCCTTCATAAAATGCACTCCTGCATTTTGACGGACAAACATTGTAAAAAACATAGACTCAGATTGGTATGATTTATTCATTTATAATGTTTGTAATACTTTTCATTCTTTTTATATATAATCTTCAACTTAAACTGAATACTTATTTCATTTAAATCCTAAGGCATGCACGCACTGGCTAAAATACCGACCTGATGGCCAAGTATAAAACATAACGGAACGCGTATGTATAAATATATGCTTTTCTCTTGTCGATTCGTGACTCTTATTTGGAAAAATTGCACTTGCACAACAAATATCAGACATACATACAGTTCAATTAGTGCATTTGTTAAATAAATTCATTATCTAAAAGTTCAAAAACTTTAAATTACTTCTAAAAACAACCGCTCAAAGATTAGAGCAACTGAACATGTCAACCATGACTGTCTTGCTCAGCTGGACGCTTACCCATCGATTCGTGAAATCAGATTCACCCTGTGACGTCATCAAAATATAGGTGCTCACACCACTAAATGTTTGCATGGTTATTTTCAGCCCGATCTGATCAATATATGTTTCAAAGTCTTAAGTAAATTCTTACAGCATAATGAATATATTTTTGGCTTAAGTGTAAGTGTGTTTGATAAGGCTATAGAAAATAAATTCCCAGATTCTCATCCCCGCCCGCCCGGCAAAAATTGCTCCGCCCGAACGATTTTTATTTTCAAAAAAGAAAAGAATAAAAAAGAAAGAAAGAAAGAAAGAAAGAAAGAAAAAGAAAGAAAGAAAAAGAATTAAGTATTTAACTTGATAACTGTGTACGGATGCCGAGTACTTAAAGTATATAAATGTGGCATCATCTGTGCGGCCGAAAGTCCGTCAGTCTCTGTCTCGGATCATGCAGGCCGAGATAAAATTTCTTACCGTGAAAAAACCTCGGGTCCAAATGAAATTTCTAAGAGCTAAAAATAACATGTTTTGATAGTAAAAATGAAATGTGTTAAAGAACTTAAACTATATTGAAGTTTGAGCCACAGAAGACCAATTTTGGACAAGTCAAATATTCAAATAAACATCAGTACATAAACAGCATCGGTAACTTTTGCCGTAAATTACAAATTTGGAAATTTTGTTTTACAAAGCCTTTTAAAATCGCAGCTGAATAACAGTCTAAAAATACTCATTAAATAATTAATCTGATAAAATCAAAATCAACAACAAATAGAAATGTGAATGGTTATGCAGGAAACAGACATTTTTTCGTTTGTCACATATTTTCGCGATGTCGATTTTTATAACAAGAAAAGAAGTCACCAAAAGTAGCCTTGTTTTGATAAAATCTGTCTAATAACACTTTAAATATAGTTTATTAATTGAATTTATTTACTGTAATGTTTACATTAGTTTAGAATGAGACATTTGCCAGTGTGTGTTAATTGTACAATGGATATTTTCTTAAGGGAGGGGGGTGTGTGGAATCACAGATATATCTACAAGCTTAATGGTGGAATTAATCAAGAAGAAACAGCAGAATTGGGAGTCTCAGGGTTTTAAAAAACCTAGTGAGGACCGTGATTATTTCTACCGTCCACATTTTGTTTTGTTTCTTCATTGAAAGCCACACTAAGAAAAGCCGTCTTTTTGACATTCACACAGTTTGTTATCATATAATACTTGAAATGTCACAGCCAAAAATAAACAAAAGGGTGCCGGTCCATGTGGTCTTAGAAACTAATTTTGCATAGAATCTGCATGGTCAGCGTGCTGCTTGATTTTGTATATAATCTTTATAATATCTAATCATGGTATGAAAGTGAAAATAAGATAGCTTTTTAATATAATAGGTAAATCTCTGTACTTTCTTTGCCAAATTTTCAATAGCTTAGATGTTATTTTTGCAAAGTGATATATAAATAGGATTGTCTTTTTGTGTAGCTTCATTGGTTGATTAATTAATTTAGTCATGTAAAAGCACTATTGATCAGCATATAGGCATAGTACATCTTTATTCAACTCTTTTATAAAATAAAGATGTCTTATTTTGTAACAATACATGGAGATCTATTGTTTTTTGTTTTTGTTTTTTGTCCAAACATCAATTGGTTTGATGTCAAAATATGAAAGGTTCAATAAAACAGCCAGATCATTACAATCAAGATATATTATCATGTTGTCTGAATCTATATATCTTACATACATATAATATAAGAACCTATTATATAGAACAAATTCCCAAATATTGACCTCCTTGTGTGCAATTCCAGACCGAGAATGGAAAAATAAAAATTAAAATCCACCCACCCGCCCCATTTTTTTCCAAAATTTGGATGAGAATCTAGTTATTTATTTTCTATTGCCTAAATTAAAACATCAATATCGAATATTTTAAAGTAATCAGGTCACCAGCTGATTGTAGGGTGAGGTCATTTACACCTGTTCATTTACGCATTTTGATTGGATAGAATTGTCAAATTGAGTGTCTTATAAAACTTGTGTAGTTTTCGGATGGTGTATGTCCTTGCAGAAGTATTTTAATTTATACCAGACAATTATTTAGGTCAGGAATCAATGAGAAGGCACGAATCGATGAGAATAAGGCATAAAACATAATTTGTCGAATGCCGCTATCCTTAAGGATTCGTTTCATCATACGTGTTCGGTAAAGTTGTATACTGTTTAGTCATAAGGTCAATTTCCATTTTTCATTTGACAGTATTACAATTGAAATGGCCACAAGTGCTAAAAATAGATTTTTACACTTTTGTCTATACAGCCTTTTTTTTATTTATTGACAGTTTTATTTCATATTTAGTTGGAAGATAACTTGCATGGTATTCTTCCTTTGGATGGAGTTAGGGGTCAGTTTGGTCAAGGTCATCAATGCTAAAAATAGATTTTAACATTTTTGCCCATACAGCCTTTATTTATTGACAGGTGTATTTCATATTTGGAAGGAATATAACTTGCATGATATTCCCCCCCCCCCCCCCCCCCCCCCCCCCCCCCCCAAAAAAGTGTGTTTTTTTTCCCCTAAAACCAAAAAAAAAAAAACCTTGAAATTAATATTTATCTGGCATAGAAATCGGCGAATATATATTCCGCAAACGCCAACCGAAATTAGTACGTATTCCGCGGACGGCAATCGGAAATTAGTACGTATATATAAATATGACGTTCTGGACAGTTTTTAGCATTCCAAAATGTTGCATAATTTCAAGTCTTACTGAAGAAAAAATTCCCCCTTGAATGAAAAATATTTGAAAATCATGCAGAATTCCCCCCCCCTGCATGGACCCTGGCCCCAGTCTCAAAATGCTAACGAGAGCCCTGCAACTTATATATTTCACAATTACAAAATGCCATGACTCTGTCAAGCTATATAACTTGTGTTTACAATTTTTTTGGCAATGTTTCTGTCCATAACTGAGTGAATGGGTAAACATTTTTTGAAATATTGCTACTGACAAGAATCGGAGCCGGGGGCATTTGTGTTTAACAAACACATTCTTGTTTTTAGTCTCAAAATACAGCCATTTCATGTCTGATGGAATATCTAAATTGAATTCATCCATCACAGAACATTAACTTCACTTTTGTTTAGAAGAATTGAATTTCGTCAAAAGAATCCAAATTAACAATACTATTTCGGTGAAAGGGATATTGTGAAAAGGAAAGTTAATACTGACTTGAATCAGTCAAATTTTACATATTTTAAGATCATATTTTTCAACACATGTACATGTATGAGTAATGTGTTACAACACATCAAAGCAACACTACAATTGCATGAGGCGCAATACCCCAAAAGCGGTTTAAATAACTTTTAAAAACCAATGATTTTTCTTCAGATTTTGTTTTCTCTGCGGTGGTATAAATGGAAGACAGACCTGGGAAGATATTTGTAGGAGGTCTGGATTTTGATATAGACGAAGAAGAATTTGAGAAAATATTTGCCAAATTTGGAAAAGTAACTGAAGGTAATTCATTAATTTTGGCTTGTAAACGGTAATGAACTTGCTGGTTTGAGAGCACCTGATGAAAATAGGGTTTAAATACATACATGTTTATATGCCTGCTCTTGAATTGAGCACTTTGCTAATTTTTAAAACTTTATTCTAAGAGTCATTCTTAATTTCTTTTATTAATCTAACAAAGCATGCTTTACTTTATTCTATTGTTAAATACTTAACCACATTGATCTGCAGCATGAAAATGCCTTACAAAAGGAAAAGGCTGTAATTTAGGATTTTAGTTTTCACTGGAGTAGATGATTCAATTTGTATAAGTGGATCTGTATTTAATCTATCACCCTAGATATGATGATGTAATTCATAGTGAGGCTAATGACGATTTACTAATACAGATCTAAGCTTATAATAATTTATGACACAAGGGTAACTGGTAATGGTGTATTATATTTATATATTATTTTACAGTATTACTAAAACGTGATCAGCAGAACTGTAGATCTAGAGGTTTGGTTTCCATCACATACGAGAATCCCTCGGATGCTGACGACGCTGTAAAGTCACTCGATAAACAGGTAGTTTACTGTTTCATGTATTTCACACCAATATTTTAAGAAAGTAAATAGATTCAAATAATAATTTACATGTTTGTGCACTGAAAAATTATTCTTTTTTATACGCCCGTTTGAAAAACGGGACGTTATTATGGGAACGCCCCTGGCGGGCGGGCGGTGCGGCGGCGTCCAATTTTGTCCGAGCATATCTCCTACATATATGGAGGGATTTTAATGAAACTTCATATAAATGTTCACCACTATGAGGAGCAGTGTCGCGCACATGAACCAGGTCTCTAGTCAAAGGTCAGGTCACACTTCGAGCTCATTGAAAATGCTTGTCCGGGAGCAAAACTTCCACATGTATAGAGGGATTTCAATATTACTTGGCACAAATGTTCACCATTGTGAGGCGGAGTGTCGCGTGCAAGATTCAGGTCCTTGCGGCCAAGGTCAAGGTCACACATAGAGGTCAAAGTTCAGATAAAAATATGAAGATGTGTATATGGACCATTTAGTCATCATTTATTGAGGGATTGTAACACAAATGGTCATTATCAAGACTATGGCTGTTGATACATATAATTTAGGTCAATATATACAAGGTCAAGGTCACTAAAGATGATGAAATATCCAGATTTTGTAAATAGAATTTAATCAAAGGGAGACAACAAAAGTTATTACTTTGTTCATAAATGACTTACACAATTACTCCCTTGATCTATTTTCACTTTCAATTCTAAAAATAGAATTTAATCAAAAGGGCATGAAATAATCCTCTTTCTTGGACTTGTGTGTGTTCTAAAGAATGTAACATTTATTTACACATGTTTCATTCATTGGTCAAGATTCTTAACTGTGATATAACTATGGTGTTCTGTAGACTTGGTATTTGTTCATAAAGATCATACAGTAAATTACCCTTATCAAATGTAAATACTTTCTCATAGAAATTTAATTATATTTTAATTTTCAAGTAAATATCAGTTCAGCTCATTCAAAGATTAAGAATTGTAATGAAATGTATTTCCCTAGAATAAAATCTTAAATCAGAATTTTTTTAGTTTATTAAATTACATGTACTTTTTATACGCCCGTTTAAAAAAAGATGAAAAATATGAAAGATGTGTATAGGGACGATTTAATCATCATTTATTGAGGGATTGTAACACAAATGGTCATTATAATGATTCTACGACTGTGACACATGTACTTTAGGTAAATATATGCAAGGTCAAGGTCACTAAAGATGGTGAAATATCCAGATTTTGTCTGGAGCATATCTCCTACATGTATGGAAGAATTTTTATAATACTTTATGGAAATGTTCACCACCATGATATGTATTGCTCCATGCATGATCCAGGTCAAAGGTCAAGGTCACACTTAGAGCTCATTGAAAAACGCTTGTCCGGAGCAAAACTTCTACATTCATAGGGGGTTTTCAATATAACTTGCACAAATGTTCACCATTGTGAGGCTGAGTGTCGCATGCAAAATTCAGATCCCTGCGACCAAAGTCAAGGTTACACATAGAGGTCAAAGTTCAGATAAAAATTTGAAGATGGTTATAGGGACCCATTTAGTCATCATTTATTGATGGATTGTAGCACAAATGGTAACTATTCATGACTACAGGTGTTACACATTTAATTTAGGTTAATATTTGCAAGGTCAAGGTCACTGGAGATGATTTAAATATCCAGATGTTTCCGGAGCATATTTTCTACATGCATGGAGAATTTTTAATGTTACTTTTATAGAATTGTTCACCACCATGAGACGTAGTGCCCTGCACATAAACCAAGTCTCTAGGTTAAAGGTGAAGGTCACAGTTAGAGCTCATAGAAAAACACTTGTCTGGAGCAAAACTTCTACATGCATAGAGGGATTTCAATATAATTTGGCACAAATGTTCATCATTATAAGGCTGAGTGCCGTGCATAAAATTCAGGTCCCTGCGACCAAGGTCAAGGTCACACATTCTGTGCATATCTTCCCTATTGATTTGTTTTAAGGTTCATTTAACAACACAGTGCCAAGAATAAAAACTTGCTTGCTAGATAACACTTATCCATAATGCCCCCATCTCCATCTAAAGCTTTTTCGTAAACGGGCGTATTTTGTGACTATGGCACCCTTGTTTTTTAGAGAGATAAATTTGGGTATGTGATAAGTAGAATATTATATTTGTTTAGGTTCATTACTGAATTTATTGAATTCGTTGAAAACAATATGCTTTTATTAAACTTATTCAATAAATTCATTGAACTAACACTCATTCAATATCCTCTATTTCTTCATTAAGCTTTGAATGCTCTTTGATATGTGACAGAAAGTTTCTCATAGAATTCAGTTATGAAGAAAGTTAATGTGGAGTTTACACTGATACAAAGTAACCAACAAAATCATTCTGATATATTTGTAGGATTTAAAAGGTAAAATGGTACATGTAGATCATGCAGTAAAACCAGGGAGGATCGTCAGGGGGTGGTGACCGCGGTGGTCGTGGTGGGTTTCAGAGGCAGAGGTGCACCTCGAGGTAATGTTCACTGATCATTGTCATTTACAAATACTAAAAAACAACACAAGTTCTGTCTTTCACATGGCCGCATGAATAATATCTTAAGATTTTTCATATGCGGATTCTTACCTTAGATAAGACAGAGTCTAAAGTTTTGTTGCATGTGATAGAAAGTGTTTCAATGGTAAAAAATGCTTATGTGAGTATAATGATAATATAGTTCTCATTTAGGCATTTATTGATGTAATTAACAATATTCATGTCTGTTGTTTAATAATAGAGGTACTGCAAAATCGTTACTATTGGTGGAGAGCCAATTTTAGTGGTTTTCATAGATAAAGTCAAGCCATGAATTCAAGATACAAAAAAATTTCATTTAGTCTGCTTATGATTATTTTGCATTGAATTATTTACATAATACCTTTGGGAAAAAAAAACAGTCCACAATTTTAAGAACCCACAAAAAATGTTCTTTGTGATATAGCCACAAAATTTCATTCCCATGAAATTAAGTTTAATTCACAGTTAATCCATTATTTATAATAACATTTTCTTTTGAGTATTGACCAAAAGATTATGATATTACATAATTTTTACCTTTTATAAATGTTAGAAAAAAATATCTCATGAGATAGCTTTATTTACCCTGTAATGAAACCTTATTTTCCCTCTCCTGGCATTGATCAAAATTTGCACTAAAATCCAGATCCATACCTCAATTTTTAGCTCACCTGAGCATGCTCAGGGTGAGCTTTTAGGATCGATGATTGTCCGTCGTCCGTTCACATTTGTTGTTAACACTCTAGCGGTCGCATTTTTGCCTCAATCATCATCAAACTTCGTCAGGATGCTTATCTAGTTGATAGCTCGGATGAGTTCGAAACATGGTCATCTCGGATGAAAAACTAGGTCACAAGAGCTAAAAATAGAAAAAAAACCTTGTTAACCACTCTAGAGGTCACATTTTTGCCTCAATCAAAAATCAAACTTGGTCAGGATGTTTGTCTAGGGTGATAGCTCTGATGAGTTCGAACATGGGTCATCTCGGATGAAAAAGTAGGTCACCGGAGCTAAAAATAGAAAAACCTTGTTAACACTCAAGCGGTCACATTTTTGCATCAATCATCATCAAACTTGGTCAGGATGCTTGTCTAGGTGATAGCTTGGATGAGTTCGAACATGGGTCATCTCGAATGAAAAACTAGGTCACTGGAGCTAAAAATAGAAAAACCTTGTTAACACTCCAGCGGTCACATTTTTTGCCTCAATCATCATCAAACTTGGTCAGGATGTTTGTCTATGTGATAGCTCGATGAGTTCGAACATGGGTCATCTCGAATGAAAAAGTAGGTCACCGGAGCTAAAAATAGAAAAAACCTTGTTAACACTCAAGCGGTCACATTTTGGCATCAATCATCATCAAACTTTGTCAGGAAGCTTGTCTAGTGATAGCTCGGATGAGTTCGAACAATGGTCATCATCTAGGATGAAAAAAGTAGGTCACTGGAGCTAAAAATAGAAAAACCTTGTAACACTCTAGCGGTCACATTTTTGCCTCAATCATCATCAAACTTGGTCAGGATGCTTGTCTAGGTGATAGCTCGGATGAGTTCGAACATGGGTCATCTCGGATGAAAAAAGTAGGTCACCGGAGCTAAAAAAAAAGAAAAACTTTGTTAACACACTAGCGGTCACATTTTTGCCTCAATCATCATCAAACTTGGTCAGGATGCTTGTCTAGGTGATAGCTTCATGAGTTCGAACATGGTCATCTCGGATGAAAAAACTAGGTCACCGGAGCTAAAAATAGAAAAACCTTGTTAACACTCCAGCGGTCACATTTTTTCCTCAATCATCATCAAACTTCGTCAGGATGCTTATCTAGTTGATAGCTCGTATGAGTTCGAACATGGGTCATTCTCGGATGAAAAACTAGGTCACAAGAGCTAAAAATAGAAAAACCTTGTTAACACTCTAGCGGTCACAATTTTAGCCTCAATCATCATCTAACTTGGTCAGGATGTTTCTGTCTAGTTGATAGCTTGGATGAGTTCGAACATTGGTCATCTCGGATGAAAAAGTAGGTCACAGGAGCTAAAAAATAGAAAAATCTTAACACTCTGGTGGCTACTGTTTTGATCCAAATATCCTGTAAATTTGATCTGAAAGTTGGTTTTGGTGATTTCTAGGTAAAGTTTGAATATGAGTCACCTGGGTAAAAAACTAGGTCACACTGCTCAAATATGGATAATCTTGTTAACACTGTAGTGGTCACATTTTTGACTCACCTGTCATGAGACTTGGTCAGAATGCTTGTCTAGGTAATTGTTTGGATGAGTTTGATGGGTCAGTGTGAGCGATCTAGGGCATCATGGCCCTCCTGTTTGAAATAGCACAATTTTGTGCTTCATGTTAAACTTCCTTAGGCGAGGCTCATTGGTAACTCTGTTACAATTCTTTTGAAAATCTACATGAGGATATTACTTGAAGTTTGGTGTAATAAGGAGCTCATTTATGTATTGATAGGTCGAGGATTGGCGGAGGTTTCAGGGACAGTTACAGTAGTGGTAGGGTGGTTCTAGCTTTGGAAGTAGAGTGGAGGATTTAGAGGGCGTGGTTCACCTAGAGGTGACAGAGGAGGAAGGGGCGGGTTTGGTAGTCGTGGCAGAGGTGGTGATCGACCAATGAGAGGGAGTTATGGTGATGACAGGTTTGTTCTCTTGTTACAGTTGAAATAATTTGCTTAGGTTTGTCCATGTTAATGTACATTGTAAATGTTTTATAATAATTATTATAATCAGTTATTTTGAAAATGGCAATTAGAAACAAAAAATACTAGCACATGCATTCCATAGGTAATCACATCTATTTTTCTGCACATCCTTACTAGTGACATTTCTTTCTTGAATTTAATGAATTTGTCAAGGTCTGTGATAGTTTGTTCAGAGTATATTCCCCTCACAGAACTTTTAAGCCTCACTCTGATCATTTACTCAAAGGAAATAAAGTTTTATTCTACAATGTTACTTTTTTGCTTAACTATTTTATTTATATAATAAGAAGAGGTATCTTACTCACCTGAGTGTTCGTCACACTTTCGGTTATGTTTTTCGTACCTCCAACTTATTTCCTTATACCCTTTGAGGTATTTCTGTGAAACTTTGTATACTTGTTAGTGACCATCATCCCACTTCTAGCCATTTCTTATAATAGTCGATGGGCGCCGTCTTTAAGGACATTTCTTGTGTTAACTTGTACTCACTTATACTAACTTACTTGACGGCTTTATATAAGAATTTCCATCCAACATGACCAGTGTCAATGTTCAGTTTAAACCCAAAACACACTGACCTGTTTGCTGATGTGTTTGGTTTTAAATTTCATATCCTAAATTTTGAGTATTTGTTTTTTTGATGTTAGGAGAGGTCCCCCACAAAGACGTAGTTCAATGGACAGAATTACAGTGACAGAGCACCACCATCCATGAGGAGAGTAAACAGATTTTATTTTTATGAATTTGTTATGTAACTGTTACATTTGATGTATTCTATTCATCAAAGAAAAATACAGCATTTAAATTGCCTTTTGTTTGACTTACAATCATGCTGTTCATTTTTGAATAGAATTGAAAGTGCAGGATTTCCATACAAATGATAAGTTTATATAATTTAATTGCAATTATTGGAAAAAAGGTGGCTTAAATTGGTCACTTAATATGTACACTTTTCCCTTAAAATTTAGATGAAAATAAAAAGAGTTTTAAGTATGTTTTGTTAATTGAAACCTGACTTCTTTTACTATGTTATTAACACTAATATTGTATATAGATGATGATCGTTTACGGTGGTATGGACAGAGATCGTTATGGTAGCTCGAGCTTGTCAGACAGACGACCCAGAGATCCCTATCCACCTTCCCCACCATCAAGAACCATTTGACAGGTTAGTTAAATAGTCTTAGCAGGGCAATGTTACTATATTAGCATTATTATCCTTTTAACATGGTAAATCTTTGCCAAAAACTCAACCAGCTGGCAATCAAAAGCAGTAGTTAAAGTTAGCCTCGCTGTAGCATTTTGACTTTTCATATGTGTTTCAGCAAACACTGATTATGCTGCTGTGAGTATAGATAATTGGAATATCAGCAGATTTAGCCATATGGTTTTCAGCTTTTTAGCTCACCTGTCACAAAGTGACAGGGTGAGCTTTTGTGATCGCTTTGCGTCCCGGCGTCCGTCCGTCCGTAACTTTTGCTTTAAATGACATCTCCTCATGAACCACCGAGCCAATTTTCATCCAAACTTCATAGGAATGTTCCTTTGGTGGTCACCTTTAAAAAATTGTTCAAAGAATTTAATTCCATGCAGAACTCTGGTTGCCATGGCAACCGAAAAAAAATCTTTAAATATCTTCTTTTAAACAACCCTAAGAGCTAGAGCTTAGATATTTGGCATGAAACATCTTCTAGTGAGTGTCTACAAGTTTGTTCAAATAAAAGCCCTGGGGTCAAAATTGGCCCGCCCCAGGGGTCATTGTTTTCCCTATATGCATATAAGTAAAAACTTAAAAAAAATCTTCTTTTAAAGACCCAAAAGCTAGAGCTAAGATATTTGGCATGAAACATCTTCTAGTGAGTGTCTACCAAGTTTGTTCAAATAAAAGCCCTTAGGGTCAAAATTGGCCCCGCCCCGGGGGGTCATTGATTTTTCCCTATATGCATATAGTAAAAACTTAAAAAATCTTCTTTTAAAGAACCGTAAGAGCTAGAGCTTAGATATTTGGCATGAAACATCTTCTAGTGAATGTCTACCAAGTTTGTTCAAATAAAAGCCCTGCGGTCAAATTTGGCCCCGCCCCAGGGGGGTCATTGATTTCCTATATGCATATATATAAAACTTAAAAAAATCTTCTTTTAAAGAACCATAAGAGCTAAGAGCTTAGATATTTGGCATGAAATATTTCTAGTAAATTTTTTTTTGTCTCCCAAATTTTGTTCAAAAAAACCCCGGGGTAAAATTTTG